GTGATATCGTTTATCTCTATGTATTAACATTTTATTTCTTTTTTTTGTATCCAAAGTATAATCTAAAATTTTACAGTAAAATTAATTTTATAGATTCAGTAGTCTAGCACAGAAAATTGAATTTTCTACTTTATTTTAGGTTGTTTTGTATTGTATGGTATAAAGTGTAGTGCCATTTATTACATTTTTAATAAAAGCCTGAATATTCCTACTGTCCGTGTTGTTGAAGTATTTTTACTAAGAAAGCTAATACAATTATAATATTTGTTTAGTATTCTATGGTTTATTTTATTTCAGTCTGGCTTCAACACATGTTTTGGGGGTTTTCAATTTTACTACATGTGATTATTGTTTTGATAATATTAATGTTGTTCAAAATGGTCAAGAAATACATCACAGTTTTTTCCTAATTCATTTTGCATTTATTTGTTGGTGATTTTCTCTAAAGATTATGTAATTGTATTTTAAAGTTATATAAAGGACTTTCTCATTCTTCGACAATATTAACCTCAAGACTAAAATCAAGATTGGTAAGATATAATTAATTATTTGTGGTAATCTCTATTCAGTTCCATTACATCAAGCCTAAAATTATTCTCTCCACTTTAAATTCCCTAATCATTTCATTGACTTCACTTTTATAGGAATTAACTTTTTGTTGATCAACTAATTCAACATGATCATTTTCTGATATAGTGTCAATAGATGAAAGAATATTATTGAGACGAACTTTGATTAGGTTAGAAAATCTGACAAAGGTTTGATACTTCATTTTGTATATTAAAGGAATGTACTAGTGAGCTGATTGAAGAAATGAAGTTGTAAAGGCAGAGATAGAAAGGGGTAGTAATATTGTTACTAAGGCAACAGAATCAAACATTCCAATTTGTCTATGTAAACATTAGTAGATTTTAAAGATTTAATTTTGAATATCTTGATGAAATAACAAATAACAATGTACAATATTAGTAGTTTTGAATATCCATATTCTTGATTCTTTCATCCGAGGCTTGAAGGACCAATGAAAATTATTAGGGAATTTAAAGTGGAGAGAATAGTTTTAGGCTTGATGTAATGGAACTGAATAGAGATTACCATGAATAATTAATTATATCTTACCAATCTTGATTTTAGTCTTGAGGTTAATATTGTCGAAGAATGAGAAAGTCCTTTATATAACTTTAAAATACAATTACATAATCTATAGAGAAAATCACCAACAAATAAATGCAAAATGAATTAGGAAAAAACTGTGATGTATTTCTTGACCATTTTGAACAACATTAATATTATCAAAACAATAATCACATGTAGTAAAATTGAAAACCCCCAAAACATGTGTTGAAGCCAGACTGAAATAAAATAAACCATAGAATACTAAACAATATTATTGTTTGATTGATCAACGTACGCATTAGCCTAACCTAGCAATTTAAGTTGTTCTCACTTTTTAAAAGTTCTTAATTTTTGTGTGATATTCGTTGAAAAATATTTCAGTTTTATCAACTCAAGCCATGAAGATACCACTTTAAGTTTATTTTAGACATAGTCTTATTGTAAACTTTTGTTTATCTAATTATTACATTGTACCGTATTCGGACATCACAAAATTATTGGTTTGATACAGATATCACAATTGTTGACAATTATATAACTGTTGTGACAATATAATTATAGATGTTTTGTTGTTTATCCCGTGATAACACTTATTTAGTGATTTCGTAGTTAATTATCTTAACAAGATAACATGTTGTTACAAGGTTTCGCCTTAATGAAGGCGACAACTTGGTTAATCTACCATGATGAAAACTTGATAACTCACCCTGAGAGGTAACAAAGTCAAAGTGCTGTGGTGGACGGGTTAAGTCTTCCCTTTACTAACTTCTATGCTATTAATATATAAAATCGTTAACTGCTAACTGAAGTTAGGTCGATTACTTTACACCTCCTTCAACAGCAAGAGATATTTTAAGTGGTTTAATTTTTAAGTCTAAACTATTGTAATTTTCGTACCTAACGAAAATTACGGTATAAATTACGGTATAATTACGGTATAACACCTAGTGTTATACCGACAACACCTAATAATTATAACCTGACCTAACCTAAGGGTGGTTAGGTTTGGGATATTTTTTTTAACTAAATAAAATCTTATTTGAAAGTCGATTTATCGGTGTTGTTGGAATAATGCGTGTGTAGGTGCCGGAATTTCTTGATATAACTTTTGGTTGTAATCTTTTAACAACACTTATAAAAAGTGTTGCTCTTAAAAAGACAAAAAGCCTTTTAGTTAAACTTAAAGGGCACTATCATAATTAAAGAGTGCCTTTTGAATTCAGGTTTATTTTAAATGTGCTCTTTATTTGTAATTATACATAACGTATTAGTGACATTTAGCATACTAGAACATATTAATAGATATAGAATAGCAGTATTTATAGAAAAGGAAGCTTGTTTGAGGTTATCAGGTAATGCATAACCAACACCATTTACATAATACACTGAGAAGGCAGAAGTGCAAAAAATATGCGTGTACAGGGTAGCATAATTTTGACATTTATTCGCACAAAAAATTATTGTTGTGGTATTTTTTCATGGTCAGGTTCTTTTCTAATTAAATTAAAACTACCATGTAGCTTTAGACATACGGAAATAGTACGGATATAATAATAGAATCTGTATGGATCATAAACATAAACAAATTACGTCACTGGCCCGAATGTCTATACTTATAGCCGTCACAGGCGGTTTAGAAATTGTTGAAAGCTATAACATGATTAAACTTGGTAATAAGTACCAATTAGTATATAATCTTACCACAAATTAACTCAACTGACTTATGTATGGTTTATCAAACTAATGTTGCCAAAAAACTACCTTATCAGCTTAAGAAAGTAAAACACCCTTAACAAACCTAGCATACAAGTATAGAAAACCTAGTACAGTTAATCTTGGATAATTTGATTAATCCCTTATCATGCAACAAACAAATTTGACTATGGCATTCGTAGTTCCTCTTTATTTTATTAAATATTTCATGTATCACTACACCAATATCACAATATCTCATACATTGTATGCAATTCATATGAAACAGACTAAGCAGCTAACTAAATTCTATCAATACTGCAAACAATGTCAACGATACACTTGACACTTCCAATCAGGGTCGTTAGCCCTAACAAGGTAAACGAATGTGTGTTTTGTCACTTTTTCTATCTTTTCAAACACAAAGAGCTGCTTAAAGTAAATAACACCATTGACTATATATACCCACTAGGTATATGTAGTCAATATATAGTTTATCATACTGTCAAATGTTGTCAAAAATCCTTATTCAAAATAATATTTGGTTTAGGATGTACTTAGTACTGAGTCTTCTAGCCTTCGAAGTAGAAAATTAATAAGCTGTTGAGTCTACTTAATCGATAAGTGCAGTAAAATATACTCCTGGGAATATATTTTATTTTAAAGCAAGTTATATTGTCCTAATTTTATCTCCTATCTCAATAAAGACACGCCCACTCCAACAGAGTTTTCATTTTTATTAAAATCATTTAGTAATAAAATAAATTCCGATTATAAATGTTAAACTGTAAAATCCCTGGTGTTGATATCAGAACTGCTCATTATTATAGTTAATGTTATACTGTTCTAGTCTAATAAATGTAATACTTCTTGTCAGACAGACTAAGAAAATGGTAAACGTGGCAACACGTTTAGAGACACTGTATTTAATTTTGCAATTCCTTTGATATTTTACATAATCGAATAAATAAACAGGAACTGCTTGGAAACTTACCCTATTGCTCACAGTTAATTATACTTTGACATTCAAGTTAATTACTTTCATCCGCTAATGAAGCCAAGGCAGTGAACCACATTCGGATCTATGAGAATGATTTGTAATTAACGGTTTGACATAACTACTTAAGCTATCTCTACGTTTTTATATAGAGTCATTAAAACCTCTTCTACGATAACTGTTTAAGGGAAGCTTTATTATTACATTTATAGCTTGATTTACAGACAAATGAGTTCAGTGTTAAGAAAATTTAAAGTCAGGAACAATCAGTAGTTAAGACACCAAGGTTGAAAGACGCCCTAAAAATCAATAATTTTAAACAAGGAGAAAATGTAAGGGGGACATAATCAGTCTAGACTAGAGTCTAGATCATTTAATGTAAGTAATGTCGAAGGAATGAAACATGTTTTGAGGTTTTTTCTGTGCGTAGAGATTTTTACATTAAAGAATATGGATGTGTGGCCATATTTATTTGATTTAACTTATGCAAATTGTCATAATTGTAGGACTTATAGTAACAATCTTGCATACTATAAATTCATGTATAATAATCTAGTCAGACTAGAATTATTTTTTTATATAGGTACCAATTATTTGTTTGTTTTATGCTTTTGGAAGTAAAGAGATGGGAAGTTGCCAGGTAGTCTTTAATTTTGCTGGATTAAAAAAACACTTTTTACTTGAGATTAAAAAACTAGATGGGCCAAAACAACTTTTACAAGTTTACTTTAAGGAGAATTAATAATAGTTAACAATAAAACAATTCTTATCCGTTTACTTTGAACTCAATGCACGTTTTAGAATTGCCAATTTCGGATGGTAAGAGACGTGCTGCTTGCTTCAAGTCAAGCGTAAAAAAGAGGAAGTGTTCATGAATATATCTACCCAGAGAAGGAAATCTACGCTTGATGGAAGCACCTATAAAACACTGTACAGCACATGTAGTCCCCTAATATTCCAGTTTAGTTAAGGAATAATAAATTTTAAGGATTGCCCAAACTCTTTTTATATACCCTCGTTTCAAGATGAGTGAAGGTAGCCTACATTACAGAGATAAGAAGAAGAGAAGAGAACAATGGTTTGGTCAAGCCTACAATGTCTCATTAGTCACTTCTCACTAAATTCTTATGGCAGTCTGCCTCTCCTAATGAGCTGCAATCTAAAGAAGCAAAACCATGTATGATCTTTTGTACAGAAGCAGTATACTCTGCTGATGTGCGCTGCTCGCAACAACCGATTGTCCGTGGTGAACTTCCTACTGGACTCTCTGGAGCACATAGATGTGGACCTGGTAGATCAGGAGCGGCAGACGGCACTGCACCACGCCGCCCAGGCCGGCCACAGGGAGGTGGTCTCAAGGATAGTGCAAGCTGGTGCCAACACCAAACTACTTAATAAGGTGAGACTGTGCGAAAGGGGTGGGCTTATGATCGTGCAAGCTGATCCCAAAGCGAGGCTATTCCCAAAGCTGGTGCTTTTCAATATGGGAAGAATCGGTCATTCGGACAAATTCGAGAACCAGACTAAAAAATATTAAAACTCTGACTTTTTAGGCTTACCTTAGAAGCATGACCTAAAACATCCTCGATTTGTTTTTAATTGATTCGACCTAAGGAACAAATATATAAAATCTTTTCATTGTGTCCGAATACACCCTGTATAAATACATCTGTAAACGCCACAAAACATGACTTGTAACTCCACCAATACTTTGCAGCAAGGTCGGACAGCTCTGCACATGGCTTGTGAGAAGGGTCACTTGGACGTCGTGGAGTTCCTGCTCAGACACGAGGCTCAGATTGAGGCGAGAGACGAGGAGGGAAACACACCATTACATCTTGCGGTGGAAAACAAACACCTGATGGTGACTCAACTTCTGCTGGAGTACGGCACACCACCCGACGTCGACAACCAAGTAAGTATCTGCATTGAAAACATCGCATCTACAGTATATGGGACAGCTGTAGCCTTGAGTTTCTCATAGAGAGTCCTAAAGTCTGAAATTAAATAGTTTTTGTTACAAAGATAATTTAAGTTACATAAAAGATGGTGTTAAAAAGTTGTCCTTTCAGTTTGACGTAGTTTCAACCACAAAAACCAAAGTTGGACGTATCCGACAAAAATTAGCAATTTGTTAACGAGATGTTGTTTTGATGAGTAGTTCTACCATAAGTCAAAGGCATCGGTATCAGTGTTTACTGAAGTCACTTGCAATTCCTATGATTTTTTCGTACCTATTCCAAATCTTGGTCTACCAAATCTGGTTCTAGTATAGTACCTTATTATTGTGAGATAGTACCAACAGATTTGGAAGAGGTGTGAAAAATCATAGAAGTTTCAAGTAACTTCAGCAAACACTGATACCTTTGACTTATGGTAACAAATACCCTGAAAATACCAAACCGCGTCCACGTAAATAATAATTGTTCTTTATTGTTTTAACTTTTATCACGGTATACTCTTAAATCATAAAAATATGGTGTGGAGGGTCAAAAGGGTGTTAGTCTTCCTCTCACAGAAATTTGTAACGTCATAATCGGTGTTCACCCTTTTACTCATAACGTCATATTTTTTGCACATTTCCCTGTTACAGAAAGGTATGACTCCGCTGCATGTTGCTAGCAGTCTTGGCTGTCGCGGTATAATTGACACCCTACTACAGTATGGCAGCGATGTCGACAAACAGAGCAAGGTAAATAGTGATATTTACAATCTGAACACAAATATCTTTGTGTACAATGACATTCGAGTGCATCTTATTGAGTTTTAGCTCAATAGGTTACTTATACATTGTATTTACTGATCAATATTATCTGTGATTAAAACCTTTAAAATAGAACTTACGTTTCAGAACGGCAACACTCCTCTTCATCAAGCCAGCGAAGCCAACGATTGTGAAACCGTGGAGCTGCTCATTGCAAAGGGAGCAGATCTCAATGCACTCAATGCGGTGAGCTGCGTAACCAAAATATTTCAAATACAAAAAGAGTGTTTTATATAAATTTATGTACACATGTTATGGTTTTGGACCTTATCAGTAAGATTCAGGCTGGTTTTCCGAAAAAGGAAAGTTGCGTTCAAAGATACAAAATAATGAGCTAAATAATACAGATTATGAATATCAATAAACTAATGGTATAAATAACAGCGAAATGTGTTACATGAAAATAAAACCAGAAGGGTTATGTTTGTGAATACAAATTTACAGATAAAAGAATATGACAAAGTGTTCATTCTGCCTTGCCAGTTCGTATCCAATTCAGAAGTGCGTATGGATATTTGAGTGAGTCAGTCAGAGCTCCATTTTATGAATATAAAACCCTACAATCATCTGGAAAAGAATAAATCATTATTCTTAGATATTAAATACAATTTTTCATATACATCGCTATCAGTTATTGTATAATACTTTCAAGAAAGAATTTCAAGGGAAACTATGTTGGTACTGTTAGTGAAAAAAACTCATTCATGCTACACAATGTTTTCCCCTGACGAGAGTCCCTCTGTGATTTTACTATCGTTCGTGTGGTTGACCTCATTCCTTATTTTAAACATGTTGAACCAATTCTTTAAAACCAATTTATTGTATTGTTATTTTTATCAATTTTTAAATTGCTATATGCAATTCTGTTGGAAATTATGTTAACTTATAATTGATTACTAATTGCTTCGTGTGTTTCTTGCAAGTTGTTAAAATATATCTATAAGTGATTTAAATATCACTCTTGATTTGTTATGTGCACGAATTCCAGAATCTTTCCTAGTGAATTTTCTATTTGCAGTTGGAAACGTCGTTTACCTGTTTCCTTTCCATTGTTTGATATTCAATCATCAGCAGTGGCATTTTACGTTTTTATTTATTTCCTATCTATGAAGATAACCTATGATAGTTAATCAACTTACTCTATTTGTGGTTTAGTAAAATTGTAATGTATGGTTACATAATTTCGCCAATGATCCGGAAGATATCGACAAACATTTTATCATAAATTGATATTACATTTTCTACTAAGTAAATTACATCCATTATTATCGAAAGGTCACCTTATATTAAATGGGTTGACATAATCAATACTCTAAATGTCATCAATCCAATTAATGTCGCGACAACTAATTCGTTAAGGCCTCTTGTTCTGTTTTGTGTGACGTTTAAAAATATAGTCGTATTTTCTATATACTGTCCTGAATTCAGAGATAAAATTAAAATGAAAGATAGTGGTTTAAAAAAATATTTTTTTTCAATTTTATTTGCTTTTTGGAGTACTGAGTGGTATCGTAGCTTAGTCCATAATTCAATGTTTTGAATGTGTCACCATGTGTGAAACTAAGGTCTCAATCTTGTGGTATGAACAGAAAATCTGTATTTTGACATGCACATAATGTTCTGTTATTGTTACAACTGAATGTAAACACATATTTGGTCCGTTTGACAAACAATAAATTCATCTTTCTCAACAAATACTGTAAAAGTCCCAATATATCCGTAATACTTATCCAATGTCAGACCTTACTCACCTACCTTACTCACATTGTCACACAATGTGTTAACGGATTCAGGAACCTCGCCCATGTATAAGTAAACATGATACCAACTACACGTAAATGCAAGTCTTTTAGACGACAATAACACTCTCAATTAAGTGTTTCGCATTTACATTCAGCCTGTATTTTTGTTCATTAACCAAAGTAAGTTGAACAGTCCTTACTGGTATTAGCAGAACAGGTACTGTATTAGCTTTAGATTCTGTAGAAAATTGAGTTATAAGAAAAAATAATAAAAAACATACTGACTATCAGAGATATTTTATCATGGATAGATTATTCGATGGTATAAGTATTAAGTTATGGTTTGAACGAACTATTTTCTAGTGGAATCAGATATTTTTAATAAATTTTAAAACATTTTGACAGAGACAGTAAAACTTTTACATTGTTTTTATGTCATTTATATTATTCCGGATGTATTTATAATACCAGTGTCATTACCTAAAGTCAGCAGAGCTTTCATTCCCTAGAGAACGCTAGCGGAGACTGTAACATTAATTATTCTCTATGTTTATGGGGAAACTTTCAGCTCCCCGACTCTAAGTGGTAAATGCTTGCTTTGTAATGTTAACTTGTACCAAACTCTTGCATTTACACTGAAAATCGTATAATAGTTACAGTTAAGTCGACACTTTCATTGGATAGCTAAAATAAATAAGATTCTGCGGATGGCCCAAGAATTTTCATCATTTCGCAGTTCTTAGATGGAATTTTAAAACTTATTTAGACTCTGTTCGTTTTAACTGTCCATTTAAATTACCTTTAACGAAAGGAAAAAAATATAGGGAAACGTTCGTGTCTTTATGCTACATCCCATCAGAAAGCGATGGCGAGATTCCAGAGATGGCGAGGCGAACTAATTTCTGTTGATTTTCTCACGTGTGATTTTACAAATTTTCAGTTGAACTCTCTCTCAAATCTGTATTTAGATTGATCAGGAAAACTGTTCCTAAATCGAATCAGTTTGACTAAGCTCCGGGCATGTGAGGAAATAATTCACTCTGAAACCCCTTTGATCTATCAAATAATCTGCATTTATACTTTAGATTTGTTTTTATTGTGAAAATAATTAGTAAAATATCAATACAAAACTACGCGAGAGAGCAAAACTTATTGTGCATTGTTGGTTGTACTTGAACCTTAAGAGACTTTTCTCAACAAACTTCTTTTTCAACAGATTTTTTTGTTACATAGAGTTTTTGTTACATACATATTGCTCCTGTGAGTAGGTCACAATTTGACCTTAATATCTTTGAAACTTGTATAATCTAATAATGAATTTAATTTTACTTCAACGTTATACATCTAATCTCTTTAAATAACAACGGATAAATTTCCATTACAAATGTAGGCAACTAAATGTAAAAACTCTTAAGATATAGCTTACTCTATGCTCTGGTAAAATTAATAAGAAATACATAGCGCACATAGAACAAATTATGATATATGACTAATTATCTTTGTCGGTTATTCCAGTTGTGTGTTGAAATTACAAACGCATGTCATGGGTGAAGATATTTCGCTATAATTGTAATTGTCAGATTTTAAGCTGAGGAACATTGTACGGTTTGATGAATCATGATACTATTTTACATGACGCATATCCTAAAGTGGGAAATGTCAATTGATTATTTTTCCTAATGAAATACCACAGTGTTTTTCAGACAGGTTTTCCTAATTGTAAAGGTGGGTTTTAAAGCGACCCTCTACAAACTTAACCAATTAATTTGTGACGGGATTTTCAACAAATAGATTTGCAGAACGCTTGATTCAAAGGGTTTCAAGGCTTCAAGGTTTACAACTAATCATGGAATTGTATTCAAATGTAAGTGTTACAGCACACGTTTGTAGTAAACAACACACTTTTGTTTATAGCGTTCGCTCAGATCAAGCAACCAACATTTTAACACTAGGCCTGATGCACCTGCTAGCATATTTACTAAGTGCTAAAATATTCACAAGAGTAACTTAAAAGTTTCCTGTTGCACCTAGAATAATGTTAAACTCTAATTAATTTGTTAGCTAACGTAAACGCCAGAGCAACTGTATTTGTGCCCCAAGGGTCTGAGATACGAACTGGGAGATGAATTATTCCCCAGGCTGTGAGCAGCATCCGACTACCTCTCTCTTGTGTTTAAAACAGTTTTATTTGGAAGGTCTCCATTTTTTAATAGGGAGATAAACAATTATACTCTTGAATATATATATATATATATATATATATATATATTTAATTTGTTTACATTATAAATTTATATCAAAAAAGTATATTTTTGCTTTGATTTTAGTGGAGTATTCTATTAGAGAGGGTTTCTCACATTCCGAGTAAGAAAATGATGTCTTATAGTTACGTGGAACAACAGCTTCAGAAGGCTTTTAAACCACTGGGTTCAAGGTCTTGGCACATTAACATCCAGTGGTGATTGGCCGGAATGGAACCTTAGCCCCCGCGACAAAAATCCTTTACTATATCTTCCTTACTGTACAGAATCATCAATCCTGTGGTGGAACCAACCAATGACATAATATCAAAAACTAATAAATATTTTTATAAATGGAAAATCTCAAAATATACTATGATTTTGATGAAATATGAACTTCGTGTTTGCAGTTCTGTTTAACCTGAAACAAAAAGTCAAAAAGTTGCCAGACAAGATGTTTTTATATCTACTATGTCAATGTTAAATATATCATTTCAACACTCAATTTTAGTGAAACAAATAAACGTTTCCTTAACATATTTAAATCAGCTCATTTTAACCAGAAAAATTAATTTAATTGATGACATACAGTTAGTCACAGACCACTGGGTGTACTCAAGAACTCAAGTAGTTACACTGAATGTTCTACCATACCGCAAATTAAAATGAAGAAACAATTCCAAAGAACAATACCTACTGGTTTTACATAATATACATAGGTTTTTTTTGCATCGAACTACGGTAGGTTCGCCCAAAAAAGTCATTACTTTTAAACCGCAATGAACCATTTCATTTCAAATATTTATTGGTTTAGTTTGTGAACGTGGATTTGAAGCGGCATTTCTACATATAAATTGCTGTCGGATTACCGATTTGCTAAGCAATTAAAGTCAATTCAAACTATTCATCATAATACATCATTCAATACAAATTCGTAAGTACATAATCACAGAAATGTCTAAACCTTGAAGACCGCTGCAGTTAAAGATACGTAGCCATGTTGAAGTTACTGACCGTTTAGTAAAACTGAGGATAATCTGAAGTAATGGTTGTTATCTAAAGACAAAGTAGCCGTAAACACTAGAAGAGTAACGTAGCTGGTGCTGTTGAAGTAGCTAATATAGCTCCAGAAATTTTACTTCAACTTTAAGTACTTGCCAAAGGATCATTTTCCCATTTTCATAGTAATTCTTTAGATAAAATAGCAACTTAAGAAGCACTGAACAGAAATGTCGTTTCCTGGTAACGTTAATATAAAACTATGGATTCTATTTCGACCTATTTTTTAGGACCATATCTTTCTTTGACTGTTTTTAATGCTCTCCTAAGTAAGATATGAATCATTTGCAATTCTATAAGATTATATTTTGTGTTGAACAGCCTACATTGTGTTGACTTTCCACTTTAAACTAATATAATTTTCTATATGGGCTATCCAATTTCTTGCCTTGTATTGTTCATCTGAATACACTAATCATTGGGTTCTACAGGTTATTTTTTGCGCAAATAGTAAAAACTGTTTTCAATTCATGCGTCGAGGTCGAAGAGGTTGAGTATTTTTTTCTAGGTTAAACAGAACTAGCCGGAGTCGTAGACATCAGCCGTGCGTTTTCCCTTTGTAGAACGATTTTGAGAAGTAACCATTTCCAGATGGAACAGGTACAACCATATTATTGAACCAGTTAATGTATTTATTGTCGAGTCACAATATTTACTAGAATCAATAATCAATATTAAGACAAATATAAATTTATAACCCGTTCAGTAATGTTTCTTAATTCGTTGATTATGTATACGTACGATACATTTAAGTTCTTTTGAAGTAACAAACAGGTTAAAAAGTTAAAATACATAGGTCATTGCTGATTTTTTCTATAGAAAAATAAGATGAGAGCAATTTTAAAGTAGCTTATTACGATAAACAACGTGCAGCATTCCCGTTTTATGATTTTTTTCTCAAAAATAGTGCAATATAATCAATTTCTTATTCCAACCTTTCTTGAGTTGAAATTAAATAAAACAATAAAAAATAAAGTTTGCTACCATCGCAAATGCGTGATGAAACTCGATATTGTATTGGAACAGTCTTGCAATATGATGTAATTTGATGGTAGGGGGTAGTGGTAACATAATAACACACCTTCATTGTGTCAAAGTGTTGTTCATGTTCCGATAAAGATAAATTTATCTTTTCCGGTATGAATAATCATCATACAAATGGGTGTTTAAATTATTGCTAGTTTTGACATCTTACATGGGACCATCCACATAGCCTGAAGTCCCTGCTTTCTGATTTATCTTTTTACAGCTTCGGATTAGCCTATAATTTAATAGGATACAAGTTTAAATTATTTAAATGGTATACAGTTGATAAACAGAAATTTAATATTAATTCTTTTAAAACTGGAAAGCTTACAAATATCTACAAAATGTTATTGATTTATGTTCCCAAATTAATCATAATTCAAACTAAAGCAACGACCTAGTCTCAAATCAAATATTTGCATCATAAATTAAACAATCCTTTTGAAAAGGTTTAGATTTAATTGTTAACATAAAAGACAGCTACAAGTTACAGGTTAATGTAACGTCAAACTAGTTACAAACATGTAACTCTGAAGAAACTTCTCTTTCTCTTTCCAATGTCTTTCCAGTGTCAGTAAAACTTGTGAGACTTTCGATTTATACCTTTGTCTCCAACCTTCAATTCAAATAGCTATGTAAAGCTTTATTTATTTTCTTTACAATCATTATCAATTACATCATAAAAATCAATATTCATCGCACTCACATCTTGTATACAATAAGTTGTTGCAAACCGTCCAATATGATTTACTAACAAAACATAGATGTGCTATATTCTTATTAGGTTTTACAAACTCCCCCATTTTGAAAATTTCTTGAGATAGTGTTATTATTGCAGATTTCTTTTGAAAATTAAATTAAATGTGAATCGAGATACAGAAAATTTAATTTTCTTGGTTAATTCTAACTTCAACCTTCCACTTGCCTTGTTATAGTTGTAACAATGAATTGTTCTACTCATAGCCTTAAATCAAATCCGAAAATCGTTCTAGACACATTCAACATAAGAGCTGATCAAGTATTACACTATGAAAATACCTATCAAAGATTTTACCCATCAATTTCATATAGTTCAAATCAATTCAAAGATTTCTACTGTTTACGTTTTAATTCTCCTAAATTCAACGTATATGCAATATTTTGGCCCACCAGATTTTCTGACGACGTTTTTATTCATCATAATGGATCAAATTGGATCAAATGGCCATTTCAGTTCACAGGCCGTCCAGCAGTCATTAATTATATATAATATTATTCCTGATGAGGATAATAATTCTAATTTTACTTCCGATAACTGACTAAGAAGAAAAAAAAGAAACTTTTCCGTTCAGTTGTATAGGTGAGTGATTTCAGAATATACTGTAATATGGTGGTTTTGTAAAATATTTAACCTCCTCATATTATCACAAATACCAAAAGGAGATTGATTGACGTAAAGGCAAGTAACGTCGTAACAATTCTCCTTTGTAGAATTAAGCAGGGCCTGAGTTATGAGCGTAATATATTCCGCGTTTGGAAGCGTGGGTTTTCTTTGTAATTTTTCGATAAAAGTTTATGTTTACTAAATTGGAATAGCTAGTCATAATAAAGCTATCCATCTGATAACTTGTATGATCATATTACAGGTTATTTTGTTTATTCAACTGTACACATTAGGATTTCACTAGTAGAGCTATTTAGCAAAAAATGAATCTCTTAATCTGGCTATCATTAAAGTGTTTGTTTTGGCTTACTGTAATTTTGAGTTTAACTGTGTTCTAGAGGCTGCAATCTCCTATCCATATAGCAGCAGAGCATGGTTTCACAGATATATGCAAAGTTCTACTAGCAGCTGGAGCAAACATTGAGCAGAGGGAACAGGTACCTAATCATTTTAGTATTATTCATTAAGTCAGTTAAGTGCAATGTTTTACTGACTGACTTTACTGGGTGTGGGAATTATAAATACACCCACAAAGAAGAAATCACCATATCTTTAATATTAAGGTCAACTAAGCTGAATTGAAGTTTCTCTTTGGTCTGAGTTTATAAAATGTTGTTTGGCACCAAATTGTAATTTTAATTGTAAATTTCATGATGCTATGAAGCAATTTGCCTCCTTATTGTGTTCTCTTGGATGTATCCAATCTGGTAGAGTAATAAACTTATATTTTATACATTAATTAACTCCTTTTAGACAGAGCTAGAATGGTTTGTGGGAGGGTAATGTCTCTATCTGGTAGGTTGCTATAGTATGAGCGAAGTATAACATCAATCGCTTGTTCCTTTGATTCTTATATTTGTTGAGGAAAGGTAGTTTTGTTCTGTCTCGCGTTAAACTTATTTCAAGACACACGTAAACTATACGATATTTACAATATTAAATATCCCTAGGGGCTGGATGAAGATTCTGCGTACGTATATGTATATTTAAAATGTGAGTATCCGTATTTATTTTTCTACAAAATATAATTTATTGTGCAGGGTGGGAGAACACCTCTGTATATAGCTGCTAGAGGGAGCTTCACTGCTATTGTGGACATGATCATCAGAACGGCTCGGCTAGACTATCCGGAGCCTGTAAGTATCCAACCACTTCACTCACCATGAGTTGCACACCACCACACCACAAAACACATACTAGTATGGCTATATACTGTTTGCATACTGTATTACCGTTGCTCACTGTAATTTTGTTGATATTTTTTAGCAAACTCTTCTTTTTACTGACTATGCCACTTGCATGATTGGGTGATTAAATATCATTGATAATTGCAATCAGGTTTTGGAAGTTGGTTGTTTCACTTGTTAACCTAATCACCCTTAGCAAGTTTTTATTTTGAACCATTAGCACAAAGGCCATATTGCACAACTAATAACTGCATAGCTAATAACTAAATTAACTTAATGTTAGAATGAGTGCTCTTTATGCGTTACAAGGTGGTTTAAAGCTAGAGGCATCTTTTAAAAATAAAAGTAGTTTACATCCTATTTCCAATCTTATGGAGATAAAAGAGATTTCAAAAAAGAAACAAACAATTCGCTGAAGACCATTTTTTCAAACGTGACCTCTTCAATGATAGGTTGCCCTATTCTGGTTAGATTTTTTAAGCTTCGGCAATAAAATTCTTTCTAGCTTAAATACAACTAAATCAGTACAAGAGAATAGTTAATTTTGTTATTTGCTATGAAAAGGAACCCAACAGTTTCCTCAAAAAATTTTCAAAAATACAAATACAGTAACTCTAGAATCTAAAAGCAAGAACACGATTCTAATACTCATGTGATTTTTAATATACGTATGGTTTCCGTATATTTTCTGTAATTAAAATAAACAACAACCAAATGCTTTAGTGACCGTGGATGCGATGGAGGACATTTAATTTATAATTTCACTTCGTTTGCATGAAAAAATCGGGTAAACAAAAATGTAATGCAACTATCTATAAGCAAAGTGGTTTTATGATTTGCAGAGGATTAGGTCACTGCTAAATATCTATATTGTTTTTTCTTAGTGTTCTTTCCCATCCACTTAACTTCCCGATTGTAAATCCCAATTTTAACATACTTCTATGCTTGGTACTATACAATACGCAGATTTTACCTCAGAATATTTTATAACATTGGTGTCACTTGTAACATACACACTCAGCACAAAGATGTGTAGGCGGTTCGGGCCTAGGGCAGGCCAGAGTGTGACTCTGAGGGCAGTGCGGGGTTGCAGGAGGAGAGTGCGGAGGCAGGACACCAGAGTGCAGCTCGGAGGAAGTGGAGGCTACAGAAGGAAGGGCGCGGGAGTGTAGGGGAGACGAACGACAGACTCAAACAGGTGTTGTGGAAGTTGGCGCACAAACAGCTGGACGCTGCGGACTGGAAGAGGCTTGCGCATCACTGGGCGTTCACGGAAGAGCAGATCAAGGCGATAGAGCACCAGTACACAGGTACGTTCGGTGAGTTAATCTACTGATTATATAAACCTATTCATACCAACATCAGTGGGCCTTATACAGAAGAGCAGATCAAGGCGATAGAGCACCAGTACACAGGTACGTTCGGTGAGTTAATCTACTGATTATATAAACCTATCCATACCAACATCAGTGGGCCTTATACAGAAGAGCAGATCAAGGCGATAGAGCACCAGTACACAGGTACGTTCGGTGAGTTAATCTACTGATTATATAAACCTATCTATACCAACATCAGTGGGCCTTATACAGAAGAGCAGATCAAGGCGATAGAGCACCAGTACACAGGTACGTTCGGTGAGTTAATCTACTGATTATATAAACCTATCCATACCAACATCAGTGGGTCTTATACAGAAGAGCAGATCAAGGCGATAGAGCACCAGTACACAGGTACGTTCGGTGAGTTAATCTACTGATTATATAAACCTATCTATACCAACATCAGTGGGCCTTATACAGAAGAGCAGATCAAGGCGATAGAGCACCAGTACACAGGTACGTTCGGTGAGTTAATCTACTGATTATATAAACCTATCCATACCAACATCAGTGTGCCTTATACAGAAGAGCAGATCAAGGCGATAGAGCACCAGTACACAGGTACGTTCGGTGAGTTAATCTACTGATTATATAAACCTATCCATACCAACATCAGTGGGCCTTATACAGAAGAGCAGATCAAGGCGATAGAGCACCAGTACACAGGTACGTTCGGTGAGTTAATCTACTGATTATATAAACCTATCCATACCAACATCAGTGGGTCTTATACAGAAGAGCAGATCAAGGCGATAGAGCACCAGTACACAGGTACGTTCGGTGAGTTAATCTACTGATTATATAAACCTATCCATACCAACATCAGTGGGCCTTATACAGAAGAGCAGATCAAGGCGATAGAGCACCAGTACACAGGTACGTTCGGTGAGTTAATCTACTGATTATATAAACCTATCCATACCAACATCAGTGGGCCTTATACAGAAGAGCAGATCATGGCTATTGAACACAAGTACAAAGGCTTGATAACTGCATACCGGATTAATGGATTGAATATACCAACGTATGTACGATGTATGTAAAGATCGCATGGAATTTTACGTAAGAAATTCTCTATTTTAACTGTTAAACACAATTCAGTTCCAATTTCCTCAAGTAGTATCAATGTATGTAGTTGAACTCTTTTTAGTTCTATAACCATTGAAAACATTTGAAGTAGAGAGCTTTGTAATTCACTAGTGCATTATTTACGATTTTATCAATTTAATAAGTGTTCGATGGATATCGAAAACTAAGTTTTTTTTTTCTTTGGAGTCATGATTAAGCTCTTATACAGTCCATTATGTTATTTTAAATCAGAACAAAAGTTTAATTTATATAAGTGTTTTGTGGTTTGAGTTTATCATAATTAATACACTAATTGTTATTAGTTCTACATTTAAAATTAATATTGAATACATGAAAAGTATTTAAAATTCTATTCACTGGCTATAATATTTTCATATTTACAAATATTTGTCATGGATCAATAGATTCGTGATGCATAGCCAGTATTATACACAATTAACGGGTTTGAACTACGTTTAATATATAAATTCAGCCAACCACTTAACATATTAAATTAATACATCACTCCCAGCTAATATTCAACCTGTTTTTTTATTTGAGATGATTTAACACCCCATATTTTAATAATCTAGCTTTTTTAAACCAATATCTGAGACAAGCATAATACTTTTATAAATATTTTTCTTCCCCATAATGCTTTCAGGGCCAAACAGTCACAAGGATCACGCGTACAGGATGTTAGTGATATGGAGCGAGGGGTTGAACCAGGAGGTTAATCCTGTCAAAAGCCTGTGTGAAGGCCTTTGTGCGATAAACAAGAAGAGTCTAGCAGGTAAATATTTTCTTGTTTATATTTGATTTATCAAATATACAGTCTCTGTCGCTCCTCAAACAATGCTTACCAGTCCAAATATATGTAGTTAGTTATCTTGAATATTGATCCTTGTTTTCATACACATTTTTGCTTATGCATAAATGACTAACTAATCTATTCTATCAGTATTGACATTGCATCCAGGCCTTAACGTGAGATTTACAATCAACACGAAGACACTTTATTTCCTTTAGGTCCAATAACGTTCAGCGTAAAGTATTGACATATTGTATTTAAATTCACTTTTAATAACTGAGTGTTTTGGCTGAATAACTCTGTACCGGTACGTCATCCATACCTCTTGAGTCATGATATGATCTATTTAGGCTATTCATAACAGAAGAAAAGAACGGGTTTTTACTTTACTTTTCCTTTTTGTAGAGTCCATCAAGAAAAAGATGAACGAAGACATTGACCTGCCCCAGAAGGACGGGCCAAAATGTTGTACGAGATGTTCGGTGTTATAGTTTTTGCGGCCCTGGCACCAGACTGTCCCAGCAGTACCTCGCCTGAAAATTCCTTTCGACATTTCTTGCTATTCTATTCGATGTCCTCTCTCGACGTAAGACTACAGCTGCATTTATCATTGTTATCAGATATGTCACTATTTGTTTTTAACTCTTTAATGGGAACAAGATGTTTCCAAAAAGTCTTCCTCATGATTCTGAAGATAATGTAAGGAGTAAATGTTTTGATGTATTAAGGCATTTTTCAGTTTTGCATCAGTGTTAACAAAATTTAAATGTAAATTGGGATATGTATTTTCATAAATGTTTACACAGCCATAATTCAGCCGAAAAAATATTTAGTCAAAAATTATTTAGTTAGGATGTAAAGCTCACAATCAATGCCTTTTGTTTAGTTTCAATACAATTCTCGAAACTATTTTTGTTATAATATTTTGTATAAGATACGATTTGAATCATTTTTGGCTATTAGTCATACACAACTTATACGTACAACCTAGATTGAACAATCAATTATTGCTATTTTAAAATACAACTTGGGTCTTCCATCAAGGATTTTTTAACTATAAATGACCGGTTTAAATTACGTTTGTATCTAACAATCAATCAGTTACTTAGCACCGACTGATGCCACGACCAAAACGTAGAAAACATAGAGATTTTAAGGAATAATAGTTGATTACTTTAGAAATATAAATCTATAAGACTGTAATAATATTTATAGTACTAAAGTGTTTAGCTAGTCGCACTAATAATAGCATTTTGTGACATATCTATAGAGAAATTTATTATTTATAACATATAATTTATAATACGATTAGCTTTAAAAGTCTAGCCTTAATAGGTATTTTAAATACATTAAAGTAAAGTCAACAAGACAAATATCTAAAACCCTCAAGTTTAAAATCAAGACTTGCATTGAAATATATTTTTAATTCATTTGGTTTGTTAAATATAATTTCTAAAAGTATAAGTGTTCTTCAAGCAAAGCTTGAAGTTGTTCAAACATTTTGTAAACAAAAACAAGTTTCAACACTCAACAACCACCAATTCGTTTACTCCATTTCAAAGTTTAAACAGTACATCACCCACGAAACTAGTATGTAAATTAGTTCTGTATTTAAATGTAATTTAAACTTGTGTGTTAAGAAACAATTTGAAATAATAACTGGTCAAACTGTATTAATATGTATTAATTGCATTGGGTAATATTTTGCAATGAAGATTAGTTCCCTTAGTTAAATATTTGGTTTATATAAACAAACTATTATCTAATAACAATACAGATTTTGATATTGAGGTGAAACAACTTTATTTGTAATAATTATTAATTTGTTCAGAAACGTAAACCTCACCAAGTATGATTTCTCTTCTGATTTAAATTTTACAATTTTAAATAGATTTGGGAAAATATTGAGTTGTGAATTGTAAAACTTAAATGATATTTTTCCCTCCAGTCATTTACAATTATACAGTAGTTCTAAGCTGGTAAGAAAAATTCAGCCTAACGGTATATTGAGTTTAGCACAATTGCTGATTTTCAAAGGCTTACAAGGTATTAAATGAAATTGGGTTTAGTAACAATATTGAACAAAACTGTAACAAAAATCTGTTTTTATTGTTTACAGCCATATAAAATATTGTTTGTTCAAAATTACACAGATAAAATCGAAACATTATTTTTGTACCTCACGTAGATGCAAACACTTTTAAAGAATCCACTCATGCAAACACTCATGCTTGGTGATTTTCATTTTCTAGCTTTGCTCCAATTACATTTGCTAAATGTATGGCAGTTTGTTGAAGCTTCAAATATTTAAGCTATTCCCGTGTATCTTGATCTTCTGTATTACATTAATGAAACATTAGATCTCTAAGATCTTATTTAGTTTAGAATGAACAGCATAATTATTCTAGAAAAAAGAACATTGTTCAGTGGGCATTTTCCCTAGTTATGTATGTGTTTGGCCTTTACTCCATTGATCGCGTTTGCAAAATAGTTTTTTATTGTTTAGAAAACTATAAAAGCCACTGACAAGAGTGCGAACTTGTACAATTATACATAAGATTTTGCCCAACACATTCATTACTTAACTAATATAGGCTACTAGTAGAACGCTTTTACAAATTTGAAAACATATCAGCTCTAGGATTGTATAGGACTATGAATATTTCATAAAGTATTTGTTTGATTTCCATTCTTCAACATTTTGTTTTCAATTTCATTTAGTCGAACAAATGTCTTTAGCACTTTGGTAGGATGACGTAAATAATTTCAATCAGCAGCTTACTGCTTCCCCCAGACAGCATTTGAAGCCTAGTTTCATGGAATTTGTATACTATTTATAACAAATTGCTCAGTAGAGTTTAGATATTTTTAGTAGTTTCTGATATCAATGTACAAATCGATGTTTTCAGCTTGGTTTTTTATAGCTGTGCATGGTTATTGCTTACAGGTGCGCCTTACACTAAGTCCTGATCCAGCATATTAGATGTAAGCTTAGACTTAGCTGTCGGTAATCTAGTTGTCATTGTCAATAAACCATGCTTAGACTTTATGACTCTGTTATTTCACAGTCTCACCTTTTTAGGATATTAAAATAGTCTGAATCTGTTTGCACAGCGTTTATGAAGACCGATATTCGCATTGGAAGACCCAGTGAACAGTCATAATTAATACAGTAGATAATGTGTGAATAAAACAAGTACATATACACATTTGTTCTTAAATTAACACTTTATTATGACGTAGGGTAAAAAGAGTACGCTCATTTGAAAAAAGGCTCTACAAATGAAAGGGTCACTACCAAATGTTCAACTAGTAATAGGCTTACAGCCTAAACTCTCAAAATTGAAAGAACTTATCAAAATATCAAATGTTAACCAACATTTATTCTAAAGAGTATTAGTCACCATTTAATTTCATTGGTAAGTCAGTTAAAAAAATAATAAAAATTATATGAATGAACTAAAAGAATGTATAAAGAATATTTACTTTTTTTGCAGATACACAACACCTCGACATAATAAATTTAAAAAATGTTAATGTTTAGCCTCTGGATCTCGTTTATATAAATAAAATAAGGTTTTATACCTTATTATACAGTATTTTAATTTAGCCAAATTTATGTTAATGTTTACGTGTTCGTATAAGTGTTATTTGACGATTATTTACAACCCCGGGTATAAAGAGGATTTCGCTGACTAAATACGGACCACCGACAGTACAATAGGTATTTAACATTTTTATTGTTTTTTAAACGTGTCTTAATGAAGTGAATATTGACTAAAACAACATAAACAAGTAGAACCAAATTCTTTATAACAATCAGTAAAAACAAAATCAAAGTAAACATTCTAATGCAACAGGTTACATCATTGTAAGAAATAAGGATGTGGTACAGTCTTACAACCTTAGAATTTGTTAACCTATACGCTCTATAAAAGCAAGGTTATGAACGTGGAAATGTAATCTTGAGAGAGAGACATAAATAATTCTAACCCCTCCACCAGAGTTTGAGTTTGATTGTTGTGTTTCCGTAGTGGTTTCATTCCAGCCTAACAATCTGTGGATGTTTTTAGACCAACGCTTATATGAGAAAGTGGGTATAATGTGTGTGTGTAACGTGCATACATTTCAATTGAATGCAAGAAGATACAATTAATATTTTGAAAGTGCTAAGGATTTCTAACGCTACCATATGATTGTAGAGCAAACAGACATTAAGGTGTGAGTTACATAAATAATCTTTTCTGATGTGATTACACAGTGATTACATTTTCCTGAGGGAAATTTCTTAGATATCCCCAAGTAAGTAACGCAACCTATACGATTTGACTGTCCATAAGTTGTTCGATCACATTGTTGTTCGATCATAAGTTTTTTTCGACATATTGTTGGATGTTTCTTGTGATTTTACAGTAATCTTTTACAAGAATTGAAAAATAATAATTTACTTCGTAGAATGTGCGAGAAAGAGAAAAATAAAATTTTAATTTTCATATATATTATATTTTATAATTTCTTTCACGCCTTAGTTCGATAAGAGGAGAGGCAATGTTGACAGTCGTGTGAAAAGTCACATCACGTTTCTAAAGAAATCGATTATAAAAACTCTTATGTGCTAAGAGCTATCTGTAGATAGTAAAACTATTTGATTTTTTGGCCTGTAGCTATTAGAAAAATTATATATTGGGAATCCTTGACTTACCATAAATATAACATATTTTTTGTTACATCATAAGGTTTTTACTTTTTTTAAAGGTGGAAACAAATTAATAACATATTAATGTTGTGTACTGTGAATGCAGAGGACATTGTACAAGGTTTTGGGAAATATGCTAAATCTTTAATCAATATCTACAAAAAATTATTTGTGATTTAAATTCACTGAAAATAATCTAATGTAACTTTCACTTGTTTTACCTAAACAAAACGTGATAACAAGTTCTGTTACCTGGAAAATTTCTCCTATTATGAAACCTTATGACTTTTATTGCCATTTTTATTGAGATTCAAGGTTCATTTGCCAAGGTTTCATAATGAGATCAATTGTCTGTGTTCCTTAAATACAAATTGTTCTTAAAAATTACTTCACACCATGACTTTTACCCATGTTTACGACAAGTAGCTATCTATAGACAATTTTCACTGTATTATGCATTTCAACTACATTATTTTAAATATTGTTTAAGTAAAAAAAAATTAAAATGTTTTACATCATACTAACATATAGGTTACAGGTTTTATTTGATTAATGTATATGCCTACCAAAAGCCTCACAATCTTTTTCAAGACGCCATTTCCAAGCAGCACGCAACCTGGTACAACGCTTATCAGAAGTCTGATTCGGCACGAACTCTCCACTTGCCAGTCGTATCACGAACATAAAAGTCTTATATGACACACATCATTTTACATAAACTTACTTAAGTATTAAAATATTACTACTCAAAGAGGTTTTTATCTCCGTCTATTTGCTAGATTGTTGTTATACCACATTATCATATTTTATATCCAAAGAAATTCAACAGTAGTGTAGGAAGTAATAATATCTATAAAATGGCTTACGTTGAACTTCAAAACGTGAGCGAATATTATATTCCCACTACATTAGTCTTGGGTTTTAATAGACCCAATAATAAAACCTACACTAAATTAATTTATATAACTGAAATTACAGATACATAAAATAAAAGGTTATGCACACAGACCAACAAATAAAAACTATATGTAAATGGAAATCTGAAATGGAGGTTGCATTGCATGACATACCTATGAGCCCTAGGGCTTACCCACCTACGTAACACTGTAAGTGTGTATTTGTGGAACAGATACTATAAGGGGAGGGGGTACATTACCAATACTATTTCAGTTATTCCCGTTTAACTTCTCCTTTATTAAATTCCCTACGGCTAATTAGTTTGGATTTAATCGTTTCTTTACAACAATTAATTCACATTTTCATTTGCATGTTACGTCCATTATTACAGTACTACAGTAGTGAACCTGTGCGGCTCAACGCCCCGCAAAATAACATATGAATTTAGAAAGCTAAGTCATCGTGTTATATATGTATACATGTATATTGACGGTAATAATAATAATAATCAATTTATTGTAGTCGATAAAATACATTATATTACAAACGTCAGATAGCATAATATGTGTGATAAATACGCTATGCCAATAAATTAAATACAGTAATAAAGCCTGAGAAGGGAAGCAGTCTAGCAATTTTCTAGCTGGACTACTATTAACTTATTCTAATAAATTAATAAGTTTTCAAGTATGTTATGGTTATTTTTAAAGAACTTTTTTAAGATTTTAAATAACATTTAACAAAACACTTTATCATGTCAAACTAATACCGAACAAACACAGTTACCAATAGAATGGTTGCATATTAATGTTTTAACGAATGTAACCAAATCATGACATCGCCTAGGTACACACTCAAAACATTGAGAGCTAACCATTATGTTTAAACTTTGTAGTCTGTTATGTGATTAAAAACGCACAGTTATGGTTTTTAAATACATAGCAAGTCTTGGGTTCAGTTATGTCTGAAAGTATCAAATCACTTTCTTATCAACGAAAAGATTACATTTCTTAATAGATTAAGTTTTTAGTTACCGGTATGTAATTTAACATCCATCGACGTTTTTTTTGCAAATACAGTCTAAACTTGAAATAAGTAAACATTATAAAAGTTGATATACATTAAACTTGGTTTTGCAGTAAAGCTCGATGATCTCAACTAGAGACCTATTGGATAGTTTAATAAAATAAAGAATAAGAATATTTTTTGTTTCTCCGTCATTTTGTACAATATTTACAACAATCATTGGCAATATACTTCATTACAAAATATCTAGTTCCTTTTTTAAATAAGTTTTTAGATTTTATCAAGTGAATAAAATAAAATAAATTTAATGAAAATGACCACTTGTCAAACAAAATTATTTAATCCGTACCAAAATAGCTGATCAAAACGATATTAAATCTGACTTAAAGTTAAAGATTAGACCTAATTTAACATTGGTCTAGGCATAATAAATGTGCCAATAACTTGTAATACAATAAAACTAAACTATATAACAAGACCAAGGAGTTATTGAAGGAGATATTGAGAGGGTCATAGAGTAGTTGACGTAAAATAATGTATACAATGTATGTAATGTGTAAAATAATATGTGGTAACCGGAACACATCTAATTCATTGTAGATACAATACACACATCATTTGATGTAACTTTTATGGCCTACGTTCAAAATCCTACACTAACAAAATTACGTAAATAAGTATATACTTTATTACACAATGGAAATCCCGATTGCACATACACACATCTAAAACGGCGAGTTTGTACTTTTTACGCACTACTTGATAATAAATGTATGTATTTCATTTAAATTAAAATGTTTAGTTGCAACAGTAACTGACAATTCAGGCATATAAATAAAATGGTTCGGTGAGTTTGGTTTTTGCAGAAATGTTCAATGGGGATGTGGTCAACAGTGTTTATTTAATGTTTTTAGTTAGCGGTTCGTCACTTGTAAATAAATTAAATATCTTCACTATTAAATATTTAACTATGCGATGTAATGATGAAGTGGATTATGTCCAAAATACATGAGTTTTAATTATTTTTTTGTAATGAGTTTTGGCATCTAGTTGATACTGCTTACATTTCCTAAAGGTTTATAAAATATCCCGTTTCACTAAGTGTAATACTTAATTTCATAAACTTTCCACATTTTATTTTCTATTTTAATTACATATAGTTTTAAGAGAATTATGCTATACCTACTATTATGAGTACAGTCTATTCAGTTAATGAAAAAATATTATGGTCAAAAGTGTTTTACCCCTTCAAAACAATTGTTAAAAGTAGTTTTAATAAGTTGTTTACCTATTTGCTTCATAGTAGTTTTGCTAAACAACATAGAGGCCATGTAATTGAATTAAAGTAAACTTCCAACCAGGTGAAGTACCTTCATTATATTATCATGGTCGTTCATC